CTTCTTCTTTTTCTTCTTCTTTTTTTTTTTTAACATATAATGTATTATTTGTTTCAGAGGTACAGGTCTCTGCATTCTTTTAAATAATCAGTTTAGTATCTAAATTGCTAAGAATACTCACAAAAGTTTGGTAAGAGTTTGAAGTGCGAAATTATTTGAAATAATCGTGATATCTGAGTGCTTTTCAGAAAAGAAATTTTTAGGTTACCTTGCAATAGGAAGGAGAGAGGCCGGTTCAGTTATTTGACTACACTCATCCAGCACTACTACAGGAAATTTAAGATCATTCATGCATGGGAATGGGCAGGCTGCACAGGTAACTCCAACTACTCGCACCTTTAGTACAAGAATATTATTAATTAACAACCTTTTGAGAAAATAAGATAATGTATTTACCAAAGAACTTATAAATCTAAAATCAGAAATGAGCTGTCCTAATTACTGGCAATCAGGAATAACAGGTCACTTTATCTCCACATTTTTATTATTTCCACGTAGGAAATGGAAATCACAGAACATAGGCTACTTAAGCCACAAGTCCCTTAATAAGAACAAATAAAAGGCACAGTTTGATATTCACAAGGAAGGTATTATATTATCAGGGATTTAAAAAATATTAATGATGACATCAATATTTTATCCTTCTAAACAAAGCTGAATAAACGCAACATGCATTATTATCAACACAGGCCAAAATTCTCCACAAAGAACAGTGAATATACTATAAACTGTATTTTGCTTAACCTTCAATCACACTAGGATTTTGACTTATTTAAGAAAGTAAAGAATACTAACTATTTCTAAACAACAGTAAATTAAAGTGTACTTGTGGCCTGTAAGCATATTTGAATCTTATAATTCTCAAATATTATAGCAGAATACCATTATTCTCAAGGCAAAAAGTCTGATAAAAAAGCTAATATTTAATCTCTGGAACTAAACATAAACAAGAGGAAAATCACTGAATTTTCTAATTAGATGTGTTCAATTGCCCTAGTAGTCTAATAGCTACAGACATACACACACACACACTCACATATATATACACACATACACGATTTTTTTTCTCTCCTAACAATCTGAAGTATAATTCCACTTTTTGGTAGCAAGGGCAGTCCACACAAACAGACCATATCTTTTGTCAACAAATGTGACTGACAAAAATATGCTTTACAAATTAAATACTGCCTCCATAGATCCTGTGAAACAAGAAATATATACATTAATAATAACATTCATCACGTATAACAGCCCTCTGTCAGAGTTTCCTTTTGTTAAAAACAAAAATCACAAAGCCACATTTATATTAGAAACTCCACACTTTTTGAATATTCAGCTCTTTTAAAATGATCCAGCAGAAGACACCACTGTAGTAAAATACACTGCTCATGGTACCACTCTCAAATATCATTCATTATTTAATTTCTGGAATTCTGGAAATTCAGCCATAAAAAAGAATGAAATCTTGCCATTTGCAATGATATAGATGGAGCTAGAGAGTACAATCCTAAGAAAAGTAAATCAGTCAGAGAAAGACAACCTTAGAATGAGAACCCGAAAGTTATGAACCAGGAAGAAGTTTTTTTAAAAGAAATAGCTAGGGGCGGGAGCCTGTGTAGCTCAGTTGGTTAAGCAACTGCCTTCGGCTCGGGTCATGATCCTGGGGTCCTGGGACTGAGCCCCACATCGGGCTCCCTGCTCGGCGGGAAGCCTGCTTCTCCCTCTCCCACTCCCCCTGCTTATGTTCCCTCTCTCACTCTCTCTCTCTGTCCATTAAAAAAGAAATAGCTAGGAGCGCCTGGGTGGCTCAGTCGTTAAGCGTCTGCCTTTGGCTCGGGTCATGATCCTAGGATGGAGCCCCGCATCGGGCTCCCTGCTCCGCGGGAAGCCAGCTTCTCCCTCTCCCACTCCCCCTGCTTGTGTTCCTGCTCTCGCTATCTCTCTCTGTCAAATAAATAAATCTTAAAAAAATAAATATAATAGCTAATACAAAAACATAAAGAACTAAGCTTTCTTTAAAATATTATATGAGTATCTACTAATTTGTCATCATATTGCTAAGATTCTAACCCCAGGAGATATTTTATTATTGATCTAGGAAATAGCAATTAACTATGAAGCATTTTTAAAATTTAATTCTATTGTAAAGACATGTCACTTTAGAAATGTGTTAGCTCTGAATGCCTAATTGGACCTTGGAAATTTGTTAGACAAAACTTTTTAAAAAATGTTCCCTTTAAAAGAGTTTTCATTTGGGGCGCCTGGGCGACTCAGTCAGTTGAGCATCTGACTCTTGGTTTCAGCTCAGGTCATGATCAAGCCCTGATCCAGCTCCAAGCTCTGTGGGGAGGCTGCGTGAAGATTCTCTCCCTCTACCCCTCCCCTCACATGCATGTGCATGCACACACACATTCACTCACTCTCTCTCTTTAAAATAAATAAGTAATTAAAAAAAATAAATAAAAGAGTTTTCATTTGTGAACAGATAATACCAATGAACAATAGATTATGCTATCTGGGCTTTCACTTGGAAAATAATAATAATAAAAAAAGAAAATTATCAAAGAAATCATTAACAATTATTCTTACATATCAATATTATGTTGGATAAGTGAGTAAAATGATAAGTAATTTACATAAATGACTAATTTGCATTAATTGAACACAGTCAAACTAAGCCCTTCTGGATTTAGTTGGGGAGAAGAAAGTAGAGTTAACTCTGTAACTCAAAATAATAGAAAGCTAGTCTGAAACCTGAGGACTTCTGTAATCAAAACCTGTAGATTGGTTATTATTTCCAATTTCTCTCTCCCTCCCTGTAAGAGTATTACACATCCACATTCTTTGCCATGTGACTTTGCAGTACTTCTCACCAGAGAAGTAGGGGGAGTATATTTCCCTGTCCCACTAAATATTAGGCGTGGCCACACGACTTTTTGCAGCAAATGGAATATTAGCAGACATGACATGAACAAAAGCTTTAAATGTATTTGTGTGATCTAGGCTTCCTTCTTGCACTTCTGCCATCTGTCAGGAGAAGACCATCATGCCATAAGCAAATGTTCTCAGAGTGAGAGATCTGAACCATAGCCTCAAGCTGGGCCATGCCAACTGATCTTTAGAGTCATAAGTTTGTTGTCTTAAAGTATTGAGATGTTTGTTAAGCAGCAATATTTCTGAAAATAGCTACATAATAGGGGGATCCAAGTATGTTGATTTTTCCAAATCGCTTGCAGAAAGTAACCAATGTCCACATAGTCCAAGAAGTCAACAACCCTCTTTTCTTCCCTTCCTCTTTCTTTTCCTCAAGCTCTCCTTTCACTGGAGGAAACTACTGATTGACTTCTTTCTCATCAGCTACCAGCTAAAGGAAGCTGCCCCGGATCAGAAGCTGATAAAGGGGATACTGCTACTTGTTACAGCTTGGGATCCTGTGTGTCCAGTCTTGGCTTCCAATACTTAGAAGCAAGTGTCTAAGCCTCCTAGATTCTCAGATATAGACAGACCCTGAAAGGCTTGGCTTTCTAGGGAGGCATTAAAGACAAATTTCACTTGGGTATTTTGTCCAGGGTCAGACCTTCTTTTCCTTCCCCATTGCACCTAAAAAAAAACCAAGTTTCATTTTAACTTTCCAGGAAGTCTATTCCCACCTCTTCTCTTTCCTCTTTAAGCTTATAAAAAGATCTACAAATACGGAAAAAGAGAGGATAACTCAGTCATGGTAAGTTGGATCTGTTCACAAATTTGAAGAATGTTTTATAAGATAAAAATATGCACTGGATAGACATACACACACTTTATTTGAATCTAAGCTATCACAGTCATTTGTTTTATTTAAAGGAAATATTCTCCATCAACAGGAATAAAAGAATTTTGAGTAGTATATATAAATTAAGAAACAAACTTACCTGCTTCAGCAGGGTTTTATTGGTCCCCAGTTTATGCTGTTCAATACTTTTTCTGACATAGACCCTTTCCAGAGGAGTCAAGTCTTCTTTCATTAGTGCATGTAGTTCTTTCAGTTGTTCATTTTCATTTTCTGAGGCATGCAAACTAAAAAAGAATTACTTAAAAGAATATCCCTTTTTATCCCATTTTCACATTATAAAAAAGTAAAATACAGATTTTCTAAGTTAACCAAAAAAAATAAAGCTTTTCCACTCTTCTTCAAAAACCAAATTT